CATTTAAAACAAAACCCGTCCCTTGAAGTGAACCTCTGGTATCAGGTTTAGCTGCAGGATCTGAAGTTGTGCTTGAATTTATCTGGCTGCTGTCACAAAAGAAAAGATAAATAAATCCAGGAAGGATTTATAAATATTAGAATTATTTGATAAACTTTGTTTCAGTTTGTTGAGTTTTTTCATGAAACTTGACTTCAGGGAGGTTGATGTTTTTGTCAGACTAACTCTAAACTTCACAGGTTTAACTAAATATTTTTAAACAGGTTTTTTTTRAATAACTCTTTCTCCCTCGTCTCATATTAGGATGATTATTTCCTCATTTTTGACAAGAAACTCGGTGCTGAATGCAGCAGAACGGGACCAAACCATGACACTACCACCACCGTGCTTCAGCAGCAAGATACGTTTCTACAACAAACTGACAAACATCAGAATCAAACGATTGTTTCATTCATTCTGGAGAGAAATCTGCTCCTAAATGTTCTCAGTCCTGGAACACAAGAATCCATTTTAAACCTTTAAACCTGAAAATATTCAACAACCAGATCACAAAACTATAAGTTTTATGGATTATTGTCTTCGTATGAAAACCTAACACTGTTRCAGATTATTGGTCTGTTAGTAAATATTTTATGATTTTAATGAGATCAGAACAGAATCAAACCTGAAGAGAACAGCTGGTCAGAATAATAACAAAATAATAAAAACTACTTTGTTGGTTCAGATGATCTGTTTTCTTGTTTCCTTACAGAACCTCTCTTCTTGATGTGAGACAAAGGTTCTCCTGTTTGGTTCTGTCCGGTTCTGTGYGTCACTTCAGCCGTCGCCCACATCAGCTGAAGAATGTGAAGCGTTTAAACGTTCGGCTGTGTGCTCGGGCCTCGAGGACTCTGTTGTGTTTAGAATGTTCTGAAGGTCTGAAGAGAAACAGCCGAACAAGAACCAGGACCCAGAACCAGGATCCAGGGCCTGTGTGTCCACATCTGCTAACTTTTAAAGCGTTGATTGTAAAATCAGCCTCTAACTCAACTCATTTGTTAGATACTGGTGGAAGAAGTGGGGTGGTAGTAACTGAGCATCGTCTCTAACATCAGCTGGTCGGCATTACTTCCTGTTTGTTGTGACGTTTCTGAAGYGCAGCAGGTGTGTGACATGTTTTCATCCCAGAGGGATAAACCCTGAACCCTTCAGGTTCAAAACCTGAAAACTATCATAAAAAACATTTATTATCTGGCAACACAATGTGATTAAAGTCAACAAACACTCCAACAACAAACACTCCAACAAACACTCCAACAACACTCCAACAAACACTTCAACAAACACTTCAACAACACTTCAACAAACACTCCAACACTCCAACAAACACTCCAACAAACACTCCAACAACACTCCAACAAACACTTCAACAAACACTTCAACAACACTCCAACAAACACTCCAACACTCCAACAAACACTCCAACAAACACTCCAACAACACTCCAACAAACACTTCAACAAACACTTCAACAACACTCCAACAAACACTCCAACACTCCAACAAACACTCCAACAAACACTCCAACAAACACTTCAACAAACACTCCAACAACACTCCAACAACACTCCAACAACACTCCAACAACACTCCAACAAACACTCCAACAAACACTCCAACAAACACTCCAACAAACACTCCAACAAACACTTCAACAAACACTCCAACAACACTCCAACAACACTCCAACAACACTCCAACAAACACTTCAACAAACACTCCAACAACACTCCAACAACACTTCAACAAACACTTCAACAAACACTTCAACAAACACTCCAACAACACTCCAGCAATCACTCCAACAACACTTCAACAAACACTCCAACAACACTCCAACAACACTCCAACAAACACTTCAACAAACACTTCAACAAACACTCCAACAACACTCCAACAACACTCCAACAACACTCCAACAACACTTCAACAACCACTTCAACAACACTTCAACAAACACTCCAACAACACTTCAACAACACTCCAACAACACTTCAACAACACTCCAACAACACTTCAACAACACTCCAACAACACTCCAACAAACACTTCAACAACACTCCAACAACACTCCAACAAACACTTCAACAACACTCCAACAACACTTCAACAACACTCCAACAAACACTTCAACAACACTCCAACAAACACTCCAACAAACACTTCAACAACACTCCAACAACACTTCAACAACACTCCAACAAACACTTCAACAACACTCCAACAACACTTCAACAACACTTCAACAACACTTCAACAACACTACAACAAACACTCCAACAAACACTCCAACAACACTCCAACAAACACTTCAACAACACTCCAACAAACACTTCAACAACACTCCAACAAACACTCCAACAAACACTCCAACAAACACTTCAACAACACTCCAACAAACACTTCAACAACACTCCAACAAACACTTCAACAACACTCCAACAAACACT